ACACACACACACACACACACACACACAAACACAGAGAGAACAATCAATAGCAAGATGCTAGACTTTATGCATGACATATAAACTTAATCATACAAAGTCTACATTTGCATATATGAATATGTATTAAAACTAACAATCTACATGTCAGCAGTGATGATTTTTAGACACAGGACTATAGAGTATTTTTAACTTCTTTATTTTTTTAAACATTTTTGGAGACAGGGTCAGGTTACATAGCCCAGGTGGACCTGGAATTTGCTACCCTGTTGCGTAAACCTTGCTATTAATGCTATTATAGACAGGTACTACCTTATCCAACTTCCAAATTCTTTATAATAAGCCCTGAAGTTTCTTGGTAAGCAGAAGAAAGGTTACATAGAAAAAGTCAAGTTGCCTTTGAAAGCAGCAGGTATCTCCATCGTAAATGTAGATGTTGAACAAGAAATTGACAATAGGGCTGGAGAGATGGGCCCTTGGTGTGGAGCATCTGTGATGTAGAGCACTGGTTACTCTTCCAGGAGACCCAGGTTCAATTCCCAGCACCTCATGGTGGTTAACTACCGTCTGTAGTCCCCTAAGCCCAAGGACGCTGCATGTGAGTGGTGCAGACACGTCTGCGAGTAAACTTCCATAAATATAAAATAAAAGCAAATACATCTTAGAAAGAAATTGGGTGGTGGTGGTGCACACCTTTAATCACAGCATTTGGGAGGTTGAGGCAGATGGATCCCAGTGAATTAGAGACCAGCCTGGTCTACAAAGCAAGTTCCAGGACAGCCAGGACTGTTACACAGAGGAAACCCTGTCTCAAAAAACAAAAAGCAAAAAGAGAAAAAGAGAGGAGGGAGGAAAGAAAGAAAGAAAGAAAGAAAGGAAGGAAGGAAAAGAGGGAGAGAGAGAGTAAAAGGCTGGGAGTTCAGATTTTGAGTAGAAATGTGTTGAAGAAACACAGAACTCAACAGTTCTTCACTGTTTTCTCCATCAGTGTTCCCAGAGTTATTTGACTTTAAATCGTATTTATACATGCATGCATAGATGTGTATCTAAGGTAGGGCCTCACTGTGAAGTCCAGGATGACCTAGATCTCAAAGCACCCCTGTCTCAGCTTCCTGAGCACTGGGGTCACAGGCATGTACTACCACTGCCAGTTTGAATGACTTACTGATTCATTTATTTTGAAGTGCTGGGAATTAAAACCAGGGCCTCAGACATACCATGAAAATGTTCTGCCACTCGGTAACATCCTAGTCATGTCTTGACTCTTAAATAACAACACAAACTTGAAGAAATGAGATTTATAGGAAGAATGATGTCAAAAGCAAAGTCAAAGACACTTCTAAACATAGTCTTGGGAAAGCCAACACTGGAAGGGACGGCATGGGTTCAAGTGATGCCACAGTCCTGTGTGCTGGCAGGCAAGTGAGGCTACACTCCAGATCTGCAGCCGGAGTTCCGTTTGCAGCTCTCCCTTTAATGGAGCCATTCATCGAACTCCTTTGACTGTCTCCCTTCCCTTGACTTTCAGTGTGATCTGGCCCTGGGTCTATCATATTGGTTTCTCTGGGAAACTAAATGGAATGATTCAAAGTCCAAGACTGAGACCACCAGTGTTCGAGCAGGCTGCTCCTTTCCTGGTCTAAGCCCTCAGCCTCCATGAGCACACAGCGTTTCCTCATCCCTCGGTTTCAGGTGTCCTCCCTCGGGACATGTTGCAAGGACTGACTAACGCCCAGCAGTGTCTCAACACAGTGATGTGCACTGCAGGTGCTGGGAGCTCCAGGGCCACAATGCATCCCAGTGAGATCAGTCACCTTGACCTTAAACCACACGTGTGCCACCTGGACTTCCCACCGCCACACGTCACAGAAAGTCTCAGACCACGTCAAGTTCTCTCCCCAAGAATGGGAAAACATTCGTGTGAGTGGATTAATACGGCTGCTCTGATATAGTAGAGAGAGAGCCCTTTCTTAAGGCAGCAGCAAACACCTTCAACAACCCTCTTAGCATCATCTCTCCCAGAAACCCCTGAAATCATTGCCTGCAGGAAAGGACTGCTCAGCTCCCTCTTTTTGGCCCTAGAAATGAATTATTAGGGGTGTGTGAGTATATTTGTCTTGTTTTTTTTTATTTTATTTATTTATTTATTTATTTTGATTTTTGAGACAGGGTTTCTCCGTAGCTTTTTAGTTCCTGTCCTGGAACTAGCTCTTGTAGACCAGGCTGGCCTCGAACTCACAGAGATCCGCCTGCCTCTGCCTCCCGAGTGCTGGGATTAAAGGCATGCGCCACCACCGCAAGGCTTGTTTTTATTTTTTAAAGATTTATTTATTTATTATGCATACAGACCAGAAGAGGGCATCAGATCTCATTACAGATGGTTGCAAGCCACCATGTGGTTGCTGGGAATTGAACTCAGGACCTCTGGAAGAGCAGCCAATCTCTTAACATCTGAGCTATTTCTCCAGCCCCCTGTTTTTATTTTTTTGACACAGGGCTTTACTATATATCCCTGACTGGTCTGGAACTCACTATGTAGGTCAACCTAGCCTCAAACTCACAGAGGTTTATTTGCGTCTTCCTCCCCAGTGCTGGGATTAAAGGTGTGTGCCACTATGTCTGACTCCTGCTTTTACATGCATGGGTTAATTCTTGGGGTTTCCCTTTCTAGTTTCAAATATTTTTGTTGATTTATTTATTCATTCATATTCTCTCTCTCTCTCTCTCTCTCTCTCTCTCTCTCTCTCTCTGTGTGTGTGTGTGTGTGTGTGTGTGTGTGTGGTGTACTCTCCCAAGGTATTCCTGTAGAGGTCAAAGGACAACTTTTGGGAGTCAATTCTCTCCTTCTACTACGTGGGTTCTGGTATCAAACTCAGGTCATCAGGTTTGGTGGCAAGCATTTCCATCTCATGACTCCACTTTCTGATTTCAGAGAGAATATATACTTAAGCCTTGTAGACCCCACCACCTATCTACCTACCTATCTAATTTCGCTGGGAACTAAAATGAACTTTGGGCTGGGCTAGTAAGAGCTCATTAGTCTCACTAAAATCCTATGCAACTTTTCCCCCATATTTTTTTTTTCCTGTCCTAGGGATGGAACCCAGGGCCTTGCACCTGCTAGGCAAGCAGTCCACTTGAGTTCGATCCCTCAACACAACTCCAACAGCGTTAGATCCCCCTCTGTGTGGGTGATATGAGATGGGTGTTGCCTGGGCAACTTGGAGCAGGCAGGCACCCACGCTCACCCATGCTCACTCCTCCCTGCAGGTGTGTGTGCGTTTGTGTGTTGAAAAACATCTGTGAACCTGTTGCGCTGCTTTCCGTGGGTTAGCCTGGACTCTCGTGCATAGACCTTGGAAACACCCTGGAGCAGGTGATTTCCCTGGATACCTAGCCAGGCTGCGGTGGGTTGGGAGTAGGAGGTGGAGTCTGCAGCCCAGAGGACCCTCTGGGAATCCCTTCCTGTTGCTGCGTGGCTAAGGTGTCGCTATTAGCGCCATCAGGTAAGGCTCTCAGCTACCCCACAACTCCGTAACTCTGAACTGAGCCCTCGTGCGGAAGAGACGTTGGACACCTCCCCCTCCCCACCCCCCTCCACCCCCTGGTCAACTAGTGCTCTTCCGTACCCTGTCTGTATATATATTCTGCCCCGGAGCTTGCTCTGCGAGTCGCGGGTCCCCAGCAGCGCCACAACAACAGGGACACCAAGGGAGGCGGGCAGCCCGTATGCAAATATCCGAGGGGCCTAGGATTGCCCCTCCCGCAGGGATAAAAAGCGGGGCGGGGCGCGCACCGGACTATTGAAGCCGCTGCCTCCCGGGAGCCGGCCTGCGCTCCGGCCGTGCCTCCCGCCTCGCGTCCCTGCGTGTCGTCTACAGCCCAGACAATCTCCCGCTGCTCCTGGTAAGGACGCGTGGTCGAGTAGCAACAAGAGTCAGGGGTGGGGAGTGAACTGCTGAGACAGCCAGGGGCGACACGACCTACCACCCTCATGGGGTCTGCACCTCCTTGCGTCCTCGCGGTCCGGGTGTGCACCTTCTCTGTGGGAACGTGGGAAGCCGGCGCCCACGCCGCTCTCTCCCCGGCTTAGCAGGTGGCATCTCCCCAGGAGCTGTGTACTAGCCAGTTTGTCCTCAGGCGATTTACGGTCAGGTCAGAAAGAACAGCATTTGGTTTGTGCAAGGTTAACGGGGACGCGCAGGGTCTCAGGTTGGTGTGAGGTGGAGGTAGAGAGAAAAGGGCTCCGCGGGGGCTCATGCTATCCAGTGGTGATTCTCCAGTTTTCTGTAGACGTCCCAGGACGGGATGCACCAGGGAGGTGACAGGAGAGGAGAACTCGCCAAGGGGGAAGGTGTGGATGTACACACGTTTGAATGAACAGAACAAATCGAGGCCCCTGCACCCCTATGCAACGTTGAAACTGCTGGTTGTGCCGGCCCAGCAAGCTATCTGGCCCCACAGAGAGCCTTCTTTCTCAGCAGAAAAAAAAAAAGACTAGTAAGTCTTTGAAAAGCTCTCTTGAAGTTTGTTTCTACAGCTAATTCCATTCTAAACCAGTTGAGATCTGGGGCTTGACCTGATGTTATACGGTGAAAAATCCCTTGTCTCCCATCTCTAGCCACCCTTTCTGGATTCCATAAAAAACAGTATGTAAAGATGGAAAGTGTCTTCCCAGAAGGCTCCATGCGCCCGAGCCCGGGGAGTGTAAGCAGACAGTCTGGGATCAATCAGAGCACCTATGGTGGGTGGGCCATGAGGCTTCCCTGTGGGGTGCGGACAGAATGCTTAGGGGGCAGATAGGTGTCCTTAAAGCTGCTGAAAATGCAGAAGAAGGTCAAAGCCCAGGCATGACAAACAGAAAGGCGGCAGGGTCCAGAGAGGATTAATTCTGAGGTAAGGAAGGGTGAAGTAGACATCTGACACATCTCCGCTCCTGTTTCTGTTTGTGTGCATTTGTCTTGGTGCCCGCTGGTAACCGGATAACCAGAAGACTTAGAAACATGTCCGAGTTTTGGCTTATTTCGGCTCCTGGTGATAAGGAAAACTTACAAGCTCTGGAGAGGATGAACCATGTAACCTCAAAGTCCAACCTGTCCCGCAACACCAAGTTTGCCATCCCCGACTTCAAGGTAAGAGCCCCAGAGGAGGGAGAGGGTTATGGATTGGAGGAGGGCGGGGAATTCTGAGCAAGAAGGCGAATTCCTCGGAAACCAAGGAGAGCAGAAGGAGTTAAGTAAGGCACATGTAGGAATGGTAAAGATAAATAAAGATAAACCTGAGCTAGAGGATGAACAGAGGTAGAGGGCAGGGTGTCAATGGGACTTCCTGCCACAGCCCCAGATTAATTGTGGCCTCTTGGGACTTGAAGCCACAGGTAAGCATGAATAGGGCAGGCCACAGCGGATAGAGTGTGGATGGGAAGTGGAAGGGATCCTTGGCAGTGGCTTCTGGAGTGTTCCTGTGTTGTCTGCAGTATGTAAACAGACCCGCGGCATAGCTAAAGGTGTAGTTTGGAAGCCCTTCAGCTCTGATGTTTTTCTTGACTAGAGGGAGTCCAGGAAGCCCAGGACTTCTGATTCTGCTGGAGGGGAGAAAGAGGATGCTGTGAGGGTTCAAATGGGGGATTCTGAGAGGGCTCTTGCGGTGGATGGGGAGGTTAGGATGAAACAAACGTTAAAAGACGAGCGAAACGGGAACAATCTTTTTAAAAAAATATTTAGTTTATATGAGTGTTTTTGTTTAGATATATGTTTGTTCACCATGTATGTGCCTGAGGCCTATGAAAGACAGAAGAGGCCATTAGAGACCTTGTAACTTAAGCCATGTGGGTGCTGGGAATGGAACCTGGGTCCTCAGAAGAGCAGCCAGGGCTCTCAACTACTGAGTCATCTCTCCAGCCTCCAGGAACGATCGTTTTCAAAAAGATTAGTCAGGCCAGGCATGGTGGCTCACATCCATAATCCCTGTTCTCTGGAGGCAAACTAGAGGACTGCTATAAATTCTAGAACAGCCTGCTCTACAGATGAAGTTGTCAGACCCTTTCTCAGAGAGACGGGGCTGGGAGGAAAGGGAGGGAGGAGGCTTGGGCTATAGTCTGTAGAGTACCTAAGTTCAGGTCCCAACAGCCATGTAAAAAGCTGGGTGTGCCCACCTGTCATCCTGTACTGAGGAGCACACCCTTCCTTCCCATGTCTCTGGAAAGACAACACATTCATTGCTATACTAAGAAACAGACCCTGAGTCTGAAAAGGCCCGCTACAAACTGAGCTGAGGTCAGGTCATCAATAGCCCTTCCTGGGAGAGAGAGATGATTTCAGCTCATTCTGTTGTCATCCTGCCCCAGAAAATGCAATTTTAAAAAATAAGGAAGCAAGTTTGGATCCCTAGCATCTATAACAGGTTTCACTGCCATGCACCTGTAATCCCAGCACTGGGCAAGCAGCGACAGGGTCCCTGTAATCTCAGCCCCAGACAAGCCGAGATGAGGTCCCTGGTCACCCAGTCTAGCTGAACTGGTGAGCTCCATTTTTCAGTGACTCTTTCTCAAATAACAAGAGAGAAGGAAATTGAAGAAGACACCCTATGTTGACCTCTGACCTCTACATGTATAAGTATCTGCACAATGAGTATACATAGGACATACACACTGACATGTACATACCACACAGATAATAATAAAGTTAAAAAGAGGTTTTTGTTGTTTTTTGAGACAGGGTTTATCCGTGTAACAGCTTTGGCTTTCCTGGATCTCACTCTGTAGATCAGGGTGGCCTCAAACTCATAGAGATCCACCTGCTCTTCCTCCTGTGTGCTGGGATTAAAGGTGTGCACCACTACTGCCCAGCTAAAGAGATAGTTCTTAATATAGGTGTTTTCCCATAGTTTAGTCTGGATGTTGGCTAAAGACATCCAACTCAAAGAGAAGTGAGTCCCTATGTGACTGTTGAAAGGGACACCTTACACTCCTGGCCAGAAAGAACATGAACTTTAATTCCTTTATGGTCTTTTCTAGGTGGGGACCTTGGATTCCCTTGTTGGTCTCTCTGATGAGTTGGGGAAACTTGATACCTTTGCTGAAAGGTAAAACATTTCTTATTTACTATATACAAGTAAGAATTTGACATTGTTGTCAGTGCACACAGTGCTCTTGCTTTGGCCAAACCAAAGTATGGCCTGTCTAAGTCTGGTCTCAGAAGCCAGAGGAAAAAACCAGTGGGTTCACCTGGGGATGTTGTGTCAACAGTGCTGGGTCCTTTGGGTCCCTCTTTAGTGGGTTCGGTTTTTTTTTTTTTTGAAACAGCTCCTCCTTTCTTCCCTCCTTTCCTTCCTCCCTTCTTCCTTTCCTTTCTTCCTTCCACCCTCTCCTCTCCTCTCCTCTCCTCTCCTCTCCCCTCCTCTCTTCGCCTCTCCTCTTCTTTCCTCTCCTCGCCTCTCCTCTCTTCGCCTCTCCTCTCCTGTCCTCTCCTGTCCTCTCCTCTCCTCTCCTCGCCTCGCCTCGCCTCGCCTCGCCTCTCCTCGCCTCGCCTCGCCTCGCCTCGCCTCTCCTCTCCTCTCCTCTCCTCGCCTCGCCTCTCCTCTCCTCGCCTCTCCTCTCTTCACCTCTCCTCTCCTCTCCTCTCCTCTCCTCTCCTCTCCTCTCTTCGCCTCTCCTCTCCTCTCCTCGCCTCTTCTCGCCTCTCTTCGCCTCTCCTCTCCTCTCCTCTCCTCTCCTCTCCTCTCCTCTCTTCGCCTCTCCTCTTCTCCCCTCCCCTTCCCTCCCCTCCCCTCCCCTCCTCTCCTCTCCCCTCCCCTCCCCTCCCCTCCCCTCCTCTCCTCTCCTCTCCTCTCCTCTCCTCTCCTCTTCTCTCCTCTTGTTCTGAGTCTCAGTAAGTTGCCTAGGTTGACTTTGAACTGTGTAGCAGCCCTGGCTGTCTTTAAACTTCTTCAGCATGCTACGTGCTAGCCAAGGCACCATGTTTGCCTTCAGTTTGTTTTTTAGTGATGTATATACATAAGAAAAAATTCAATACAAAAACAAGGCCACAGAATGAAAGTTAGATTTTCTTTGGATCTGTTTGCCTCCTCCCTGTTCCCTCATCGCCTCATTTCCTCTCTCTTGAAGCTTTGTCATCATAACTTTAGCAGGTGAAGCTTCCAGAGGTAGCCGGTGAAAGTACAAGTCAATATGTGTATAGCCTTGTTAGATGCAGGGACTTGTGCCTGTTGCTTGAGTCCACGAGATCAAAACCAGCCTACTCAACATAGCAATATCTTTTCTTGTTGGTTTTTGGTTTTGTTTTTCTAAGACAGTCTTTCTCTATAACATCCCTAGCTGCCTGGAAATCCCTTTGCCGACCAGGCTGGCCTTCAACTCACATGGACTTGCCTGCCTCTGCCTCCCTAGTGTTGGGATTAAAGACATGGGCCACTATGCCCTACTCAACACAGTAAGATTTCTTGCCTATTATCTCAGCCCTTGGGAGGCAGGAACAAAAGGATCCAGAACTCAGGGTCACCTTCTGCATAGCAAGTTTGAGGTCACCTGGGCTACTTGAGGCTGTCTCACAAATAAAACCGTATAGCCTTAGAATAATTCTAGGTAAATAAAATATATTATATATGTATGATAACATACATAGTATATCCTGCTTTTTTCCACTTTGCTTATTAGTATACCTCAGCGAAAGTTTCATGTTAGCTCACAACTGCCTGTTTGTTTGGTTTTTCTCTGGGTGTGTTACCTCGAGCAGATTTGCTTGTCTCTTTGTTGTTGGATGCTTATGTTTCCAAGTCTTTAGCTTTTGCCAACAGTGCACTGGTAACTGTTTTTGGTATACACGTAGAAGTAATGAAAGTGGAGATACAGACTCAGAGAGTCTACGCACAGGCCCCGATTTGCCCCAGCAGAATTGTTGATCCCATCCATACTCTCACCAAAACGGCCTCAGAACTGGATTTTCGGATCTTTGATCTATCTGTCTTTTGCTCTATGAGGGAGCAATATAGCTATAGCTGGAGGCAATCCTTGTCACTGTAGTTTGCAAAGCTATGACAAGAAATTAGCCATGAAGAGAACCACGAGGTAACAGAGGCTACTGCTCTGCTCTCACGAATGAGTGAAGGGGAGAGACGTCTTGCCAGTCTTGAACCTGTGAAAGAAAAGGAGCAGAGTCCCCTGTGTCCACTTCTTTCGAGGTTGTGCTTTGTGATCCAGAAGCCTGGCCTGCCTTCGATAACTCATCCAGCAGATGATCTATGCAGAAGCAGAGACCCTGAGCACAGCCCCCTGCCCAAGACTGCCTCAGGCTTTCAGTTTTCCCTCTCCAGGCAGGCTGCAGGGTGAGGTTGTGCAGCCCTGTACAGTGGGCTTGGGAAGCATGGGCTGTTTCCCACCTGGCTGCAGAAACGGCAGCTCTTCAGCCATTCCTTTTTCTAGACCTCAGCACCATTAACTACCCGTATGCACACGCCTTAGCTCCTTCCTCCCTCACTGAGGCCCAGACAGCACTGAGAACTCTGATGCGGGATGCTTCTGGCTTTGGGGTTATTATTGTTTGTTTGTTTTTTGCATGCTATTTCCTCCTGATAGGAATTCATATTCTGCCCTATACATTTTGATTGCTTGCGTCTCCCTTGGTGGTAATGCAGCACGTGCTTAAGAAACATACAAATGTACATGTGCACATATGCTAGCAGAATGAGGGTCGTCCTTGGGAAACACAGAGGCCGCAAAACCATTTTTAAAAGCACAGACTAGGTGTGGTAAGGGATGAAAGTTTACTGTCTCCGGTTTCCTGGTAGGCATGCATCCCCAGGTATGTTCCTACTGGAGACTAAGGACAGTTGTGTGCTGTGAGCGCCCTCGAATACAGCCTCATTCAAGGCAGGTGTCTCGCCTTAGGAATCTTTCTGTACTAGAGCTTCGGATAAAAGGAAAGGACTCTAGTTATAAATCCTCCGGTCACCCCAATTCTTTGAATAGTACTCAAGTGTTACTAGATAAATACATGCTAGCTGGGCCTGTAAGCCATGCAGCGGGAACCTGTCAGCACTGCCTCTGGCCAGGGGAACAGAGAAGGGACAGTTTTCAAGGTGTATCGTTTCCATATCCTTTTATTATTTATTTACCTGGGCACAAGAGTGTTTTTCCATGCAGCTGCAAGGCTTCTGCTTATGGGAGCTCTGTTTTTAGAAAAGTATTCCTTCACACTATCTGTGTTAATTTACTCTGTAAATCATTTTTAAATATTTAAGAAACCTATTTATTTTTCCATTAAAAGCCCCCTTCTGAATAGTCAAGTCCTTCACAGATCCTCAGCCTGGTCTGTAGTGCCAGTCGGTATATTGTATTTCACAGGCACGTGGTTCCACACGGCCACTCAGTGTGCCCCCGGGTTCCTCCGGTACCTTGTTGACTGCCACTTGCCCTTGGGTGGCTTTGCCTTTCCCTTGTGGTCCCATGAAGTTGTCTAGGAGGTGACTGATCAGAGATTACATCCATGAGGGTGGCTGTCTGCACAGCAATGCCAGACAGTTCTTATCAGGACACCGTGAATGGATGAGGGCTGGAGTCCTAAAGAGGTCTCCAGGCTTTCCATCTCCCATTGCGTGACCTATAACTTTTAAAGTTTACTTTTACATATAACCTTGTTTCCTTCTTGCTTTGTCTGGGTGCTTTTCTTTTCTTTTTCCAAAAAAGCATATTTAATTGCTTGCTTAGTTTAAAATTTTTATTTATTTATTATTTATTTTTTGTGCATGCACACATAGGTCAAAGGACAACTGTGGGAACTAATTTTTTTCTTTCTACCATGTGAGCCCCAGGGATAAAATTAGTTTGTCTGATTTAACCACCAGCCTCTGCTAATATTCTTATTTGAAATGCCAAAAGCAACGAATTTTTTCTCTGCATGTTTATGCTTTCATAATTTAATGTGTGTTCTTTCGGTGTAATTTAGGTATTCTGCAATTTTTAATCTTTATATGTTTGAAAAGTTAATCTTTAAAAAATGTTATTTCTGCTTTTTTCATTTTTAATTCTTTTGCTGTATTATCAAAGAATGAATCAGGAGCTAGTTCTACCTTTGAGAATTTGAAATTTTCCTTGTGATCTGACCTACTCTTGGTTATTTTTAAAAGATTTGTTTTATTATTAATTTGTGTGTGTGTGTGTGTGTGTGTGTGCGCGCGCGCGCGCGCGCGCAATGCTTAGGAAAGCCAGAAGAGAGTGTCATATTCTCAGGAGCTGGACTTATAGGCAGTTGTGAGGACTTATAGGCAGGGTTGCTAGGAAACAAGCTTGAGTCTTCTGTGAGAACAGTAAGCACCCTTCATTGCTGAGCCATCTCTTCCACCCAACTCTTGTTTATAAGACAGCCTCCATACGTAGCTCAGGCTAGCCTTGAGTTCCCCTAGCCTTACTGATTCAGCCCTCCTGAGTGCTAGGATTGTATAGGTTTGCACCATTGTTTCTTTCTTATGGTGCTAGAATATACATTTCATTCTATTATACTTAACACACTGAATAAGTGGTTATCTTTGTTCTTTTATATATTGCTTTTGTCATTAATGTAACTCTGTGTTTTTGATTATCCTAATACCCCCAGATGGCAATTATTAGTTCTCCTTGGGTTTGATTCTCAGTAACATGCATGCACGCACGCACGCACGCACTTACATGGTCAAATGCCATGGCATATTTAAGCTGTTGGTACACATTGCCAAACTGTCCCTGTGGGGTAGCCAGGGGCCCTTTCTTCATCCCCATCAGAGAGAATACCCACTTACCAGGTAGAAGGAGGAGGCCGTGTGCTTGTTTTCACGAGTGTTTCTCGGACTCACCGCCAAACTAAACATTTTTAAGTGCCTATTAACCACCTCTAGTTCCGTTTTCATGCTTCGCCTTTCCCCGCATTTGGTCATGCAGTCCCTGGACACCTTGCCAGGGTGCTCTCCCCTAGTGTGTCCTGGAGCCTCATTCTGGGGGTACAGGAGCCTGTATCAGGGCACAGTGACTTGGTGGAAAAGTGTCCAAATGCAAATGCCTGTTTACTGAACCACTGCTCTCCGGATACTTGGGGGTGCTGAACTCTTGTAGGTCT